TAGCCTTCCCAGCAATACTGGAAATGGAAGGAGATAATTGTTTTACACTGTTAGTGGACACAGGGTTTTAATTATATCATTCACATCAAAAAAAGAAATTATCTCCCTCCCTTTATCCTTCAGCTGTGACCTCAAAATGCCTCCCAGGAAATAAAGTGTGAATTTCAATTCAATTCAACAAATATTTTCTTGAGTGCCTATTAATACCAGGCTCTGCATTAGATTTAGGATATATAACAGTGAGTGGAGACAGGCATAATGTTTGCCTTCGAGAAAGCTGCAGACATTTTAAAAGTAAAAGTATGATAACTTGTAAACAGGAAAGGGAAGCAAAACGCCGTGGAAGGCAAAAGCAAAAGCATCTTATAGATCTAAAACTCAGGGGAGCCCTTACCTAGGAAATAAAAGTTGAGATAAAATTTAAATGGTAAGTATGAGTTAACAAGGTAAGGGCTTAGTGCTGATGTCACAAGGTAACTTAATGAGCTAATATTGAAGAGTGACAAGCTTCTCTCAAGAAACAGTACACATGACTGTTTTATCTTTGACAGGATAGCCAGAGAGAAAGGCAGCTACCTCAGTCATGGGAAAGGAGAAAAACAGCTGAAGTTTTAATAAATTTCTAAAGGCTACATGTAGAATGGCATGATAGTATCAGAATCCTGAGAGCCTTGGACACGGGGGAGTCTGTGGCATTCATCAGCTCTTTAATGGTCCTTAAATGAGAGCTCGTGAAAAAGACTGAAAGCAGGGCAAAACCACTGAGAGAGACACCTACTAAATCACCGGTATATGTGGCATGCCTAAGCCTTAGGACAGAGCAAGGAGAACAGAGAAACTCCTGCAGTGACTAAGACAGCAGCTGTCTGCCACTGGGGGAGGAAGAGGATTGCTAAGAGCAATTCCTTTTGAGGTTTATGAAAGCAAGGGTTTCTTAAGTCTGAGGGCAAAGACAGGAAACACAGTGGAATTCCCCTCCCTCTTCTTTATCCCACATACATTCCATCAAGCATGAGGCAACAGCAGCCTGATGCTGAGGAAAGTGAAGGAGCACTGAGAGAGAGACAGAGGACTACCTTACTAATTCTGGGTCCAGGGCAAGCGAACTGAGATATATGTCTGGCACTCCAGGCCTTACGAGAAGTACAATACAGCAACAATGCACCCCTGGAAATACATGAAGCCAGTCTATGGGAGCAGGGACATCATTTAAGCCATCACAAAACCCAAACCCAGTTCAATCACAAACCAGTTTAATTTAATCACGTAACTAATGACTTCACAGAAGTATATTTTTCATAATGTAAATATTATTTACCTCCTTACTTACTATACTTACTCAAAGTATCCTGCATTCAATCAATAATTATGAGATTCACTCAAAAACTAAGAAAATATGACCCATCATGAAATGAAAAAAAGGAATACATTCAGAGATGGCCTAAATGTTAGAATTATCAGACAGGGACTTTAAAATAATTATAATTTTAAAAAAAAATTTAAATATAATGAAAAAATGGACAATCTACATGAAGAGATGGGGAATTTTAACAGAGATGAATATTGTATAAAAGTAAAATGGAAAATATAAAAATAAAAAAAACCATGGTATTGGATAATAATATGTTCAATAAGTTTATCAGTAAATTGGACACAGCAGAGAAAAGAATCATTGAACAAACCCAGAAGGATGTACTGGTGAATTCTACCAAATATTTAAAGAAGAAATAATAGTAAGATTTTATAAATATTTCAAAAATAGAGGAAATATTTAACGGTATGAGGAATACTGTTATAATAAGTAATAAACAAATACTTAACAGCTATTTTTTATGAGGCTAGCATTCTCCTAATACTAAAGCTGGACAAAGAAAAAAAAAAAGAAAACTGCAGACCAATATACTTTATGAATATAGATGCAAAAATCCTTAACAAAATGTTAGCAAATTAAATCCAGTAATACATAAAAAACATACCAAACCATAACTAATTGGATTTGGCACCAAAATACAAAGTTTACTTAACATTTGAAAGTTACTCAAAATAACTCACCACATTATATAATTAAAGAAGAAAAATCTTATAATCATTTCAATAGATACAGAAAACATATTCCACATATTTATATAGAAATTTATAGCAAACAAATACTAGAAGGAAACTTCTACAAAATATTTGTAATGCATCTATAAAATATTTACAGTTAATTGTATATTTAATAGTGAATGCTTTCTAAGAAAAAACAAAAAAGTCCACTCCAATCATTTTCATTGAAATTTATACTGGAGATCCTAGCTTGTACAAAAGAGAAAAAATCATAGAAATTGGGAAAAATAAAGACACGATTCTTTATGTAAAACCTCCCAAGGTGTCTATAAGAAAACTACTTGACTTAATATATGATTTTAACAATGTATGCTATAAAATCAGTATACAAAAACCAATAGCATTTCTATTACATATAGTAGCAATTAGAAAAAAAGTTTAAAATACCATTTACAACAGCCTCAAGAAACATAAATTTTTGGGGATAAATTTAACAATTTATTAAAAGATGTTGTAATACCTCTTAACTAAAAAGTATAAAACATTGCTGAAAAAAATTAAAATAGACCTAAATAAATGAAGCAATGCTAAATAAAACAAAATTACCAATCAATTCCCTCCTCCCCTACCATATTGATTCAGATTCAACACAATCTCAATCAAAATCCCAGCAAACTTTTAAATATATATTGACAAGGTGATTATAACATACATATGAAAATCACAAAGGACCTAAAATAGCCAAAGCAATCTTCAAAACAAAGAATAATATTGGAGAACTCATACTACCTGATTTGAAAACTTTTTTTAAGCTACAGTAATCAAAAGAGTGTGCCATTGGTGAAAGGATAGATAGAAAATAGAACAGAAGAGAGAGTCCTGAAATGGATCCACACATGTACAGTCAAGTTATTTTTACAAACACGCTGAAATAATTCACTGGGAGTGAAAAATCTCTTCAACAAATGGAGCTAGACTAACTGGATAATCATATGAGCAAAAAACCTTGACTCCCCCATTTCCTACAATGCACAAAAATTAATGAGATTCATCATAGAACTAAATGGAAAAGCTAAAACCATCAAGTTTCTAGAAAAAACAGCAGAAGAAAGTATCTTTATGACCTTTGTAGGCAAAAGTTGCTTAGACTGGACAAAGAAAGCATGAATTACAAAGAGAAGAAATAATAAATTGGGATTCATCAAACTTTTAAAATCTTCCGCTCATTGAAAAATGAGCAGTAATCATTGAAAAATGAGTAATTAAATGAAAAGGCAAGCCATAGGCTGAAGAAAATATTCATATGTATCTGCAAAAGAATTACATCTAAAATATATGAAAAGACAACTCTATAACAAAATAAAAACAAAAAATGATTAAAAGACTTGAGCAAACACTTAACTGAAGATATACAAGTGGTATACAGCACATAAGAAAGTCTTCAACGTCATTAGTGATTAGAGAAATGCAAATTACAACCACAATAAGATTGTGGTTCTTATACAAGAATGGCAAAAATAAAAACAATTTACAACATCAAATGTTAGAGAAGATTAGCAGCAACCGGAATCTAATACATTACAGTTGAGAATGCAAAATGATACAATTCCTTCAGAAAACTGTTGTTTCTTAAAAGGTTAAATATGTGTCTACCATGTAACACATCAATTCAATTCATGGGTATTTAACTAAGAAAAATGAAAGCATATGTCTAAAAAACCCTTGTTTATAGACATTCAATTCCTAATAGCCACAAAATTGATATGGTATATTGAAAGGAATGTTATTCAGCAATAAAAAGGGACAAAGTAATGATACATGCAACAACATGGATAATTTTCACATTTTTCTGTGTGAAAGAATCCCCCATACAAAAACTACATACTGTTTGATCCTACTTATAAGAAAGTCTAGGATAGACAAAATTAATTTATGGTGGTAGAAATCAGATCAGATTATAGGGAGGTAACTGACTGGGAAGGAGCACAAAGGAACTTTCTGAGGTTTGATGAAACTGTTCTGTCTTGATGCAGGTGTGGCTTATACAACTGAAACCCTTAATCAAAACTGATTGAATGGTACACTTAAGATTGGAGCATATCTCTGTATTATACCTCAAAAAATTAAAAGGTCACCCCCAAATCTCCATACATTTGGAAACTAAATAGCTTATTTCCAACCACATTATGGGTTCACCAATAGGTCATTTTGAAAATTATAACATTTTAGGATTAAGCAACAACAGAGTCACTTTGAGACAAACCTAAAGCAATACCACGTGCAATCCCTCATTTGTAATTCTGAATTACCGAAAGCTCTGAAAAACAATTTTTAGAAAATTTGACATGAAACCCTGACTCAATCTGATATGAGACAAACTATAGTCTTTATTATCTTGATGTATGGATTGGTGCAAAAGTTATTGCGGTTTTTGCCATTACTTTGTAATTACCTTGTAATGGCAAAAACCGCAATAACTTTTGCACCAACCCAATATATGACCAGAGTATTGGCACAAATACCATGGCAGATTTTTATAATATGGAGTTTATAAACCATATTGCCACTCTAAAATCTAAAATCAGTGAATTCTGAAACACATTTGACACCAAGGGTTTTGGATAATGGATTGCGATCCATGAATTGTGATAATGAATAATCTTAATTAAATACGTTGCTAAAAAATGGTCGAAAAATAATGAACTAAACATTCCACATATAACAGAGGAAAATATAAAGATAAAAACAGAAATTAATATAATCAAAAACAAAGAAACAATAGAAAGAACCTAAAAATTAACCACTGATACATTTTTTCCCCCATCATCAATATTTATTGAGCATTTACAGTGTACTAGGCACACAGAACATATAGAAAACATTGTCCCTGCTCTTGAGGAGCTTACATTCTAAAAGAAAAAATACACCTCTTTTAAAATGGCATTTTTGTTTGGTGTTTTCTGCAAAGTACTGAGGAAATATTTTGTTAAAGTGAGCTTTGGGTATAACTTAGCCCCATCATTATTTAGAGAAGAGAGGAAGAAGAAAGAGGAAGGATTTTAAAGGCAGACAATGACAGACCATTCAGGATAGGTAGGGTTTTAAAGGGAGATAAACACAATCTCATCAACTAAAGAGAGATTTACTGCAGTAAATAGGATGAGGAAAATAATCTGTGGGGTGCAAGCAAAGGAAGCAGGGTGCCTTAGACATTGAGTGGAGCCAGAAAGATCATGCGGCCTTTTCCCAAGTACATGGCCACCAAGTAAGAATGGTTGGTGACAAGACAGAAGGCTAAAAAACGAAGGTAATCTTGTGCACCTGACAAATAGAATAAAGGATCAAAATCAAAGGCAGGCTGTAAGAGTATCAAGAAATTCTTAAAAACCAGAAAGTGATTTGGAAGCACAAAACTTATAGTTAATGCTGTCATGATGGGCCAAGAACATTGTGGCTTCCTAAGTTAGAAAATGCCATATACCAAAATTTTAAATTGAACACATTACATTGTTTTCCAATCAATCTCCCCCTCTCCCAGAAAAAATAGGAACTCATTTTTTTCAGGGTGGAGAGGAAGAGAGGGGATAATGGGACATGGAAACAGCAGTTATATTAGTAGTATTTTTGTTGTTATGATAAATTTTGTGTTTAAACTTGGTAAAAGCCCATTAGCTGCCAAGAGGGAATAAGGAATAAATTTCAAAGAATGTACAATTTCCTTTAGAGAAGTTTCAAAACCAAAAGACTAATTTATATGAAAAACTGTAGAGAAAGTAGTTGAAAAGTGCATTCATAAAACTTTTATTCCACTTACATGAATTTAATACACGTGTTCTTAACAATTATGCTTAGATTGTTCATGAAAATTTCATAAGGCATTAAACAAAGCTAGCCATCATCTCAAGTTATTTCCCTGTTAACTATTTTTATAGCACATGCATGTTAGGCAAATATCAAAAAAAAAAATCACAAAAGCAAAAAACCTAAAAAACAGTTAAATACATGGGTTTTTGTTTTACTGCTGTGCTTGATATACACGAAGTAATGAATACCAAGCCATTCATTTTTACTGCATCTTTACTTTTACATTTGTTCTTAGGTTACCTGAAACACTTAAATACAAATAAAATGAGTGGAGCAAAAATAATGAAAGCTAACAGCAGGTAACTTTACAAATAATGGAATGTGAACCATTGCTGCCCTTATCCAGAGTACAATGGGTCACAACTTTGTCTAAAGGAACACTTCTGCAGCTGTAGTCAAAGGTGTGCACGTTGAGATTGAGTGTTCCACAGATACACATGGTTTAACCTGTGGTATCCATGGGGTATGTTTCTACCACAGCCTTCTAAATGCTCCAAACCTTAAAGTACCCACAATTACTACCCCTGTGACTGGAACCAATGATCCCTTTTATTCCGCACCAGGACAAACCAATATGTAGGCAATTTTCTTTGCTTAGACATGGAAGCTGTTTTACACTGGCCCTTGTGAAGCCACAATGTACCAAAAGTACTATGCCAAACATTTATAACTTGTATAAAAATTCCACATCCCCATATTGGCCGCCTCAAGATGAAAACAGATAATTCCCTAAATGTTAACTGGCTCTACTCCCCTAATATTAAACATAAAAACCACATGGGAAATATAGAAATTCAAATAGAAGTAACATAAACCTGTCATAAATCGTAAACAAAAAACTATTTGTGGGACAGCATGGATGAAAATGGTCTACTGTGTAAATTTTAGAATGAGGCAGACAAAAGTTGGAAGGCTGGTTAATTTTCCCCTCCTTCTCCTGCTTCAGCTTCATCTCCTTGGGTATCCGATGTCCACAATGTCAAGTTGTCTCTCAGTAATTACATTATTAGCCTGCTGTCTTTGTATGACTCTTCACTTAATGTATCAAGTTCAGCAATGGCTTCATCAAAAGCTGTCTTTGCAAGAGAGCAGACTTTCTCTGGGGATTTCAGAATCTCATAATAGAACACAGAGAAGTTAAGGGCCAGTCCCAGTCTGATAGGATGTGTTGGTTGCATTTCCTTTTTGCTGATTTCAAAAACTTCTTGGTATGCTTGTTGTGACTGATCCACAATCCCTTTCCTGTCATCACCAGTGGCAACCTCAGCCAAGTACGATAGTAATCTTTCATTTTCAAATAGAAGACTTTGCTCTCTGCTTGTGGGGATTAAGAACTTTTCCAAAAGAGACAGTACATCATCGGAGACATCTCTTAGCTCCGTCTCAATTTTCTCTCTGTGTTCTCGAGCCATCTGCTGTTTTTTCTCAGCACCTTCCGTCTTTTGTTCAATACTTGAGACGACCCTCCAAGATGACCTACGGGCTCCTACAACATTTTTATAAGCAACTGAGAGAAGATTCCTCTCCTCATTGGATAATTCAGCTCCTGGCTCAATTACAGACTTCATGCAGGCTGCCATGTCATCATATCGCTCAGCCTCCTCGGCCAGTTTGGCCTTCTGAACCAGCCCATTTTTATCCATGACTGGATGTTCTGCTGGCTTGGGGGAAGCGGCCTTAGACCTTTAATGGCTCAGAAATGGGAGTGAGGCGTCCAGTCCCTGAGTGTGGCTGAGTGATGTGGAGGCGTTCCAATTGAGAGCTCAGAATCTGCTAACAACTGATACTTTTAAAAGATTAATAAAACTGTCAAATTTCTGGAAATACTGATAAAGAAAAAACAGAAGTTGCAAATGGTATATCAAGAATAAAAAATGGGGCAAAACCACAGAGGTAATAGAGAATCTAAAATTTGTATTTTGTGTCAATAATTTTGAAAACTTAGACAAAGGGACATATTTATTAGAAAAATAAACACAAAAAATAAAAAACAGAAAACCTAAATATTCATTTTAACTGATCTTTTTTCTTGTCTTATTGCATAAATAAATAGATGTTTTGATAAGAGATATCCTGGTATTTTAAAAGGGAAAGTTTTTAAATGGTGCTGTTAGGATTCCCCAGAAAAACAGAATGAATAGATGTGCATGTGTGTGTGTTTGTGCGTGTGTGTAAGTTAAAGGAGGTAATTTTAGTGCATTGACTCACATGATTATGGAGGCTGGCAAGTCCAAAATCTGCAAGGTAGGCTAGACCCAACGAAGAGTCAATGCTACAGTTCAATTCTGCAGGTTGTCGGCAGAACTCCCTCTTGGTCAGGTAGGTCTTTCATTCTATTCAGGCCTTTCACTGTTTGGAAAAGGCTCACTCACGTTACAGAGATAATCTGCTTTACTCAAGTCTTCCAATTTAAATGTTAATCTCATCCAAAAACACTCTGACAGAAACCTCCAGAATAATGTTGGACAAACTATCTCATGGCGCAGCCAAATTGACACATAAAATTAAGCATCACAGTTAACTTTGCAGGATTATGAGAGGAGTGACATTATATAATGTATTTTATCAAGATGATTCTGGCTATTGGTTAAAAATAGACTATATGGTGAGAATTGTAGACTCAGGGATGCCAGAGAAGAAACTACTGCATAATTCATATAAAAGATAATGGAGGCTTGAGCCATTTTTATTGTCTTTAGCAGTGGCGTAGTGAGAGGTCATTAGATTCCAGATATAGTTTGAAGGTAAAACTCATGGGATTTCTTAACAGAGTGAATGTGGGATATTTAAAAAAGAAGAAGAAGAAGAAAGAAAAGAAAGGAATTAAGAACAGTGTCAAGGCTTAGGGATCAAACTACTGGGAAAATTGAGTTTCCCTCCACTAACATAAAAAACTGTTGGTAGAGCAGGTTTGGAGGAAACCTCAGGAGTTTAAGACGTCAGACATACAAATGGAGATGTTAAGTGAAATAAGCCAGGCATAGAAAGACAAACGTCACATATTCTCACTTATCTGTGGGAGCTAAGAATTAAAATAATTGAACTCATGGAGATAGAGAGGAGAAGGATGGTTACCAGAGGCTGGGAAGGGTAGATGGAGTCAGGGTGGAAGGTTGCTGGGGAAGAGGGGATGGTTAATGGGTGCAAAAAACAGCCAGAAAGAATAAATAAGACCGAGTATTTGCTAGCATAACAGGGTGACAGTAGTACAAATTAATTTAACTGTTCAATTAAAAATAAAATAGTATAATTGGATTGTTGTCAACCAAAAGGATAAATGCTTAAAGTGATGGATACCCTATGTATCCTGGTATGATTGTGATTTTTTTATTATTACTCATTGCATGCCTATATCAAAATATCTCATGTAACCCATATATATGGTGTATATATATGTGTGTGTATACATATATATACACCTACTATGTGCTCACAACAATTAAGAATTTGAAATTTTTTGAAAAACAAGAGATGTTGAGGAAGCAATTGGCTTCATAATTCTGGAGTTTAGAGAAGCTTAGAGATATAAATTTAGGAGTTAGTAGCATACTAATGGAATTTAAGTCCCCAAAACTATTTGAAATTTAAAGAACTGAATTTAGACAGAGAAAATAACCAAATAACCAAGGACCCTAATCACTCCAAAATTAAGAAGTCAAAATATCAATTTTTTCAGATTTGATAAATTTTAACAAAATTAAATTTTTATTGAAAATGCATCTTTTTTCTTTTAAGTTCAGGGGTACATGTGCATGTGTTTTATATGGGTGAACTCAGGTCATGGGAGTTTGTTGGACAAATGATTTCATCACTCAGATATTAAACCTAGTACCCACTGGTTATTTTCTCTGATCCTCTTCTCCCTCACACCCTCCATTCTCAGTTAGGTCCCACTGTCTGTTGATGCCCTTTTTGTGTCCATGTGTTCTCAGCATTTAGTTCCCACTTATAAGTGAGAACATGCAGTATTTGGTTTTCTGTTCCTGAGTTAGTTTGTTAAGAATAATGGCCACCAGCTTCATCCATGTACTTGCAAAGAACAGGATTTCATTCTTTTTTATGGCTCCATGGTGTATGTGTGCCACATTTTCTTTATCCAGGCTATCATTAATGGGCATTTAGGTGATTTAGGTGGATTCCATGCTTTTGCTCTTGTGAATAGTGCTGCAATGAACATACACATACATGTGTCTTTATGGCAGAATGGTTTATATTCCTTTGGGTATACACCTAGCAATGGGATTGCTGGGTTGAATGGCAGTGCTGTTTTTAGCTCTTTGAGGAATCTCAACACTGCTTTCCACAATGTTTGAACTGATTTACGCTCCCACCAGCAGTGTATAATCATTTCCTTTTCTCTGCAAACTCACCAGTATCTGTTATTTTTTGACTGTTTATTAATAGCCATTCTGACTAATGTGAGATGGTATCTCATTGTGGTTTGATTTGCATTTATCTAATGATTAGTGATGTTGAGCCTTTCTTCATATCCTTGTTGACCACATGTATGTCTTCTTTTGAAAAGTATCTATTCATGTCCTTTGCCATGGGGTTTTCTTAATGGATTTTTTTTTCCTGTAAATTTGTTTATTTGTTTAAGTTATCTATAAATGTTGGATATTAGACCTTTGTTGGATACAGTTTGCAAAAATTTTCTTCCTTTCTGTAGGTTGTTTGTTTACTCTGATAATAGTTTCTTTTTCTGCACAGAAACTCTTTAAATTTGATTTGACTTGTCAATTTTTGGTTTGTTTGCAATTGCTTTTGGTGTATTCATCATGAAATCTGTGTTCATTCCTATGTCCAGACTGGTATTGCCTAGGTTGTCTTCCAGGGTTTTTATAGTTTTGGGTTTTACATTTAAGACTTTATCGATCTTGAGTTGATTTTTGTCTATGGTGTAAGGGAGACATCCAGTTTCAATCTTCTGCATATGACTAGCCAGTTATCCCAGCACCATTTACTGAATAGGAAGTCTTTTCTTCATTGCTTGTTTTTGTCAGCTTTGTTGCAGATTAGATGGTCATGGGGTGTGGCCTCATTTCTGGGCTCTCTATTCTGTTCCATTGGTCTGTGTGCCTGTTTTTGTACCAGTACCATACTGTTTTGGTTACTATGGCCCTGCAGTGTAGTTTTAAGTCAAGTGGCATGATGTCTCCAGCTTTGCTCTTTTTGCTTGGATTGCCTTGGTTATTTGGGCTCTTTTTTGGTTCCATATGAATTTTAAAATAACTTGTTCTAATTCTGTGAAGAATGTCATTGGTAGTTTGGTAGGAATAACATTGAATCTATAAGTTGCTTTGGGCAGTATGGCCATTTTGATAATATTGATTCTTCCTATGCATGAGTATGAGATGTTTTTCCATTTGTTTATATTATCTGTGATTTCTTTGAGCAACGTTTCGTAGTTCTCATTGTACAGATCTTTCACCTCATTGGTTAGCTCTATTCTTTGGTATTTTATTATATTTGTGGCAACTGTGAATGGGATTGCCTTCCTGGTTTGACTCTTGACTTGACTGTTGTTGTTGTTGTTGTATAGGAATGCTAGTGATTTTTGTACACTGATTTTGTATCTGAAATCTTGCAGGTGTTGTTTATCAGCTGAAGGGGCTTTTGGCCATAGACTATAGGGTTTTCTGATACAGAAACATGTCATTTACAAACAGGAATAATTTGACTTGTTTTCTTCCTATTTGGATGACTTTATTTGTTTCTTTTGCCTGATTGCTCTGGCTAGGACTTCCAGTACTATGTTCAATAGGAGTTGTGAGAGAGGGCATCCTTGTCTTGTGCCAGTTTTCAAGGGGAATACTTCCAGCTTCTGCCCATTCAGTATGATGTTGCCTGTAGGTTTCTCATAGATAGTGCTTATTATTTTGAGGTATGTTCTTGGAAATGCATTTTTAATAAGATAGATGGGGCTTAATATTTTTGATTAGTAATGCATTTCTGGATAAACAACTTACTACTATAATGAGACAGGGTTCACCATAAATTCTATTATAATTTGTTTTATTATGTAGATACTGATAGACATTTCTTATACTATGGGAAATGGAAATTTTATGACAGTATACCTATACATGTACTTATATTTATTAATGTACATGCCAAAGTTCTATATCATTCATCATCAAAAATTATTTTTAGTGCTATATGAGCTAACAACTTGATTGTTTCCCTCAATTTTGTTGAAAACAGAGAAGTGAAATTTAATTTGCAAATATATTTATTATCCAAAAGCAGTCCTTTCCTGAATATCACATTAATATTTAAAATTATCCCTTTGTTTGAAGCCATAAATATTTTTGTCTCCCAGAAAAATATATCACAATACCCTGAATAGGTAAGAAAGAGGTATGTCCTTCTTTTGAAAAGTAAGGAAAGGAAAACTGTGAAGAGGGTGGTGGGAAAGTAATACTCTCCCCTCCAAAACAGGTGCTTTGTCAGACAGATCAGTCTGAGGACCAAGTATATGTCAAAGTCAAAGATCTGGAGGTTTATTCCTTTAGTTCATTTCAGGCATAGTATCCCTGAGAAGCTCTTCACATGCCATTCAGAGTATGTGTATCTTAGTTTGAATAGTAGAATAAAATTTGGAAAGGCTTAGAAACAAGACCCAGCTCGACACAGCAATAGCAAAATCTTACATTTGCATAAGAAGTTGT